TATATATAATAATACTTTTTGATCTTAACCTCAATATTTTAATTTATCCGGTAAATTTGTATAATATCTAATACTCTCAGGTCTAAAATTAAATATTTAAATTAGTCAGGTAAACGTATGTAATAAAAAAATGTCAGCTCTTAAACTCAATATTTAAATCATTTAAGTAAATTTGTATAATAAATGTTATCGTAGAGTCCAAGCCTTAATATTTAGTCGTGTAAATCGGTAACATTAATCTAATTTCTCAGTTTTAAACCGCTCTGGGTCAACAGCCATCGTTTTCCATATGCTTTATAAATAACAGTGGCTTGACTTGATGCTACCTTTCTTTACTCTAAAATTGCTGAAGAAGAAATAGTTGTTTGGGTTTTTCTCATTTTCTCTTTTCTGTAAATTTACTTTCCCAAAACCAACTAAGTGCAGGAATGAGTAAAATCATTAATACTTAATGGACACGACACCCCCGAGAAGAGAGTCTCTGGTTCGATTCCCGGCTGGGGAACATTTTACTCTCTTGTATTCCCCGTTTCTTTCCACTGCGACTACAAAATCCAAAAATACGTGTCAACAACAGTTAAAACAATGCAGCAGAGAGAACATTTATCCATGCAGCTTTTTTTTATTATTCAGATTTTGCTCAGTTTTAACAACATCATGTCTCGGCGCTTGATAAGGAGTTCATTTTTCTGCCCCTCAGGCTTCATCTTTGTCAGGCTCTTTATTTCTGTCCGGTCGTGTCTGTCTGTGTGAGTTACATCCTGAATTCACCGGCAGAATAAATCGCCAAGCGTCCGACACTCACCATTATTTTTCCCCCACTCAGAGTACAAGCAGCGATACAGAACAATAAAAACCCATCTCATAACAACGTGATGAGGGGCTTTTACACCGCAGGAGCCAAAGTGATGCAAAGCTGCCAAAACAGAGGTCACCAAACGGCAGATTAGATAAAACGAGCCGGTGGATCTTCCTCTTCCCACTCGTGTCAGAGCTTCTGATTCTTCAGAGGAGCGTAGAGGAGAAAAAGGATGGCGGGTCACCTCGCTGACTCCCCCGCTGACATCAGTCAGCAGTTAAGTCAATTTCTGCGAGCTCTGGCCCAGCACAGCTCAGATCTTATTATCTTGCTCTCGTCGACATGCCCCGAGGAGCACAGCGCAAGAGCGCAGCGGCAGAGGGCAGACGAGCTTCACCCCGCCTGGTAAACAAAGCCGGCGCTCTCTTCTCTGCCACTCAGATAGCCAACAGGTGCAAAGTTCACAAGCGAGCTGGCACATACAGGAATCCACAACACACAAGCTTCTCCTCGCTCGTGTATTCTGTGGCTGCAGCAGCACAGCGATGCCCTGCAGACCTCCCCTCCGTGCCCTCGCATTTCACTGCTGTGGGCATCGCTGCTGCGCCAACTTCTTTTTGCTTTTCTTTTTATTCTTCTCTGGCCTATTTTTTACTTTAGCTGCCTCAGAACAAGCAAGCTGAAGTCAAACAAAAAAAAGAGGCAGATTTTGATCAGGCCATTAGAATGTGCAGCACACAGCTGTTGGACCGTCGACAGTCGTGTAGATCCAGGAAAGAAAAAAAAAAAGTCAGATCAGAGGAAAGCAATTACATTTATGGATAGTTGAGGTAATTGACCATATCCTGTTTCAATTTAACATTGTGCCACAGGCCATGAGGTTTCCAGGCTCCTCTTGTTAGGTTGGATGACTTTGAAGATACAGTTTTACTTTGGAGATGTGACAGATTGATTCATTTACGGTCATGCTTGAATGGTAATTTTAAAAAAAAAAAAAAAAATGGCAGAAGGTGGTGGCTGTCAGGTAGGAGGAGAGCGTCCACTGATGTTGTGATGAATGTGGAGGCTTATTTTGCCCCCTGGTGGCGAGAATGTAGAGCTACAACGACAGATTCAAGCTGCTGAGATGGGATACTGCCCCACAAAACCAAAACTATAATACTTATGGCCAAATGCACGTGTTTACAGTATAATGAATGGTGTAATGGGAAGGAGTATGAATTTAAAATTATGGATGAAATTAACACTAATTAAGTCCGGTTCGTAAAATTAGCTCAGCTAGCTCTAATAGCACTTCATTTAGCTCGAGCTGAAGCTAATTTAGCAACTTTTTCTGACCCTTTTCATCCGTTTAAACAATCAGTTATGACGCACCAGCATCTTAATAATTGAGTTTGTTTTGCTGCTTATCGAGGCAGAAGGTAAAACTAATCAAAATTGCAGAAAAGTGAGTTTATGGGTGGGATAATTCTCCTAAAAAGGAATTCATTAAAGGTCCCATATGGGAAAAAAACCAACATTTTTATTGTGTTTTGTATGTCTTGTCGCAGAAAATACAAATTGTGAGAGAGATATGAAGATGTTTGCCATTCCTCCTGCTCTCCTCACCTACGTAGCCTGCTAGCTTAAGCGTCTACTAAGAGTTTTATCCAGTTTCTACGTAGAAACTGAGGTAGCTGTCATAGTCTTGACCCGTTGGCCTCCAGGTGAGCCATTCAGAATGAGAATCTTCGTCTCCGTTCACCGGGTTTATTTACTTTCTAGAGCTGCTAACTTTAAAATGTCTCAGCCACATGTAAAGCACGACACATGTTCTGCTGCTGGCTGCAAGAGTGAACACGAGAGTCTTAGTGCACTCCCAGCATCTCAGGAAAACAATTTTTGATGCAACTGTCACCACAATATTAGGAAAATCATTACTGTTAGCACATAGTGTGGCTAATGTTAGCATTCAATCATATACCGACGGGTCAGAGCTCTGCAGACACTGTAAAGCTGAGAGACAATTAGAAAGAGTAGAAAAGTTAAGACTCAGTCAGTGTTTACTTCTCACATATTTTAATACAGTAGAATTCCCAATTAGGCTCTTCTTGCTCACACATCTTTCTGTTTCTGCGGTCACACAACAGATCGAGTGTTAAACTGTGACTCAAACGTGGCTTCGATGAGTTAAAACTAGTCGCTGTGTTTTGAATTCAGTAGAAATTTCCTTGTAAAAATAGTCGTTGAGGGAGACAGAGGCAACAGCTCTGCTCTCACACCATCATTCACGCCTCAGTCAGCTGCACTGCCATCAGCTGTTTGGCTCTGCACATGTCATCCCAAGCACACAGAGAGTCTTCTTCCTAAAATCAGCTGTGTTTAAAGCTGCAGTCACCGAATCAGTCTGCTGAGAACAGTCAGGGTGAAATACATCATCATTAATTTGCTGAAAAGTGTCACAATATGGGAGCTTTAAAGGCAAATGTGACAGAATCTTCAAGGCAAGGCCACCAAAATAACACCAGTTTTGTTTGTCTCTGTGCCGTATGCTTTATGGTTTCTCCAGCCTCATTGATCCTTGTAATGAACTAACCAATGACTAAATAAGATCCATTTTGGAGCTTTCAATTGCGACTCAAAGATTGCATATTCTCTCAGAAAATAGCGTCGCCGTGCGTCACATCGCTTCGCCGTAGCTCCATTAGACAGTCTGACAACATTTCATTTCCGACGCAGACTTTCCCATTACGACTCTGCCCTTATGACTCCATTAAGATTAGCGCTACACCTCATTAGCATGCTCCTCACTTTGCATTCACTCGCTGCTCTCGTTTCGCAGCCTCTGACCATCTTCCAGAGGTCCCTGACCACCATGCAGATCCAGATCCAGGGTCTGCTGCAGTTCGCCGTGCCTCTGTTCCCCACAGCTGAGGTATCGCACACACACAGAACACCAGAGTTGAATATGTTGTGCATCACAGGGATGCTGCCCTATGAATAAGTATGTTCCAGTGACGTGGTGACCTCTCCACAGAGAGATCTACTGGGCATCCAGCATTTGCTCAACTCCTCGGAGGCCAGTCTGCACCAGCTGACCGCCCTGCTGGACTGCAGGGGGCTCAACAAGGTTTGTTCGCTGCATCCTAATTGGCATCGCAGGCGCACAACTAGGTCAGCTTGAGAGTAAGTGGCCGTGCAGGGTTTCAGCATAAAACAGAAGCAGAAGGAGGCACAACAGAAAGAATCTGCACTTTAACAAGATCATCTTCTCTGTACCGTTTTCTTAGTGCCGTGTGTGAGTTAAACCTCCTGCTGCGTCCGACTGCAGTGCGCTTTACATGAATAATGTTGAACTTCAAACCGAATGTGCAAAAAAAAAGTGAATGAGGAGTGTGTCTTCCTGGAGATCACACACACACCGATGCTCTGAGTGCCTTTTTTTTTCATCTTTGGTTAATTTTGTCTGCTGTGGATTCGGCAGCTGAGAGCAGGAATGACTGTTTGTGCTGTGACCTCTTTAGGACTACCTGGATGCCATGGTGGGGGTGTGCTACGACGGGGTGGAGGGTGTGCTGTACCTCTGCCTCTTCTCCATCCTGGCAGCCTGTGCCTTCACTGTCATGCTGTGTGCCATTCCCAGGGCATGGAGACAAATTGCCTGCAGGTCAGTTCGTTCTCAGGCTCGTCTGCCTGACTGCCTGAGCGCCCTCGTTTCCTCATCCTGCACCAATCTCTATGCGCATCACATACTGTACTGTCTGCGCCGCGCCGTGCATCTGTGGGAATGTTTGGGTTTTTTTTTTTTTTTTTAACCCAGATGTTTTGGTGCAAATGCAAATTCTGTTGCGTGACTCAGAGGTTTTAGGCTACAGAATACCTTCTCAAGGCGAGGAATAAAACTGATCTGTGCTCACCGGGTGCTTCATCCGTGTCAAGTCACGGCTGGTTTGAAACATCACAGTTCATGTGTTAAAAGCAACACACGACTGGGTTTGTACATGTTAGAGTCCCTCTGGTTACTGATAAACCCCCAACAACTCATCAAATGTGCATCAGCTACCTCCATGAAAATACTCTCTTCTTGCCTTTAGATGCAACGAAAATGTGCAAATCAGTGACATCTCTGCATCCCTCTCTCCCCATACCGCCCCACTTGCTGCAGCTCATGCACACCAGCTCACCTGCTACTCTGCTCAGTCGCTGTAAAACTACTCGATGCAACACAAGTTGTAACTAGGGGTGGGACTTTAACACGTTAATTACGATTAATTAATTACAACAAAAATAATGCGTTAAAAAAATTCGTTGCTATCCAGGACTGCTAGCGCTAACAGCTCCTCGCTGCTTTGCATTCAGGTGGTCCCGTCAGCTTGCAGCGCTTCGGTGGGATGCAAATTCTTTTTTGCACAAGTTGCACAAAGCCACGCTCTTGTCAAGGCTTCCATTTTTAAAATGAAACTGCATCAGTCCAAGTGATGCAGTCTCATCGGATTCCTCCATGTTTGTTGTTGTGAGCGTTGCGCTGACACATCTTGTGCATCAGTGCGATCAGTGGACCATGACATCGGGCGCTGACAAACGCTCCGTGCTGCCTGGATGCAAACTGTGGTTAATTTTTTTAACGCGTTGTTTTTGTTGTAATTAATTAATCGCAATTAACGCTTTAAAGTATATTAGGGGCGGGACTTTAACGCGTTGTTTTCAAGTTAATTAATGCGTTAAAGTCCCACCCCTGGTTGTAATATTTCAATAATAATTAATCAATACGTGTTCGAACTACAACCTGATGCTGAAGGATGATGAAAGCTCCACTCTGCAAGCTGACAGGACTGTCGCTGGTGTCCTGCAGCTTCATCGATGGCTTATTTTGCACATGATATGTCGTCCAGCGTGTGAAAAAACATCATGAGGGCGTGTTCACTTGTTTTCCACCAAAAGGCGTCTTTCATGTCTGTTCAAAGCCGTACAAAATGTGTATTATGAGTTTGTAAGATCACAGAAAAGTCCATCCATTGAGCCTAATTTGATTAGAAAATCTAAAATGAAGTTTCAGGATCATGAGCAGTGTTCTCTGTCCTTACATGCTGGATATTCGTCCACTGAGGGTGCAGATTAGCAGCTTTCACACCAGATGAACCGTGCAAACTGACCTCAATTCGTTTTAACTGAACCAAACAGGTTCAATGTAAAATCACAAACGTGCACCGTAGATATATGTTGGTCGCTTTGAAGCTTCCCTTGTATAAAAAGATGTCTTACACTCATTGGTGGGCCTGTGCTGCCTACAGTGGCCCCAGGTGTTGGTGTAATGGGAGGATGAAGGCCGGAGATGCTCCACATGGCCTCATTAATAGAGGATTATCCTTGAATCCTTGGTTGGTGTTGGAAGTGAACCTCAGCTGTCCATCAATGTGGCCCTTCTTCATCTTATCATTCGTAGAAGGTTTAAACAAGGCACTCTGACATCTAAGACAGCTGCATTTGCTGTTTGAAGGCTGAGCTAGTGAACAACTTTAGGCTACAGCAGGTGAAGTAAGTAGGTGGTCGGGCAAAGTGTGACTCCTGTTCATCATCGAACCGTGACGTCTGGTCCTAAATCCTGAACACAGAAACGATGAAAAACAGTTTCCTGGATCCCAGATCAGTTTTACATCATCCGCAGTCTCACGGTTGTTATCTTCCGACATGTATAATGCATTTAGAACCAAATTTATGATCTTCTCAACAGTGACTTTAACACTTTCAGATAAGCAGTAATTTATTTTACCAAGGAATATTTTAATTGTAATTTCCTGTTTTTAAGCGGGCGCTGTTGTTGAATTATTTCCCAACACATTTGAAGAATGAAGAAAAATAAAAACTTGCTGAAGTTGTTATTTACATATATGTAGAGTTTCTTTGTCAGAGACGTCGGTACGTACGTCGGTGAACAATGTCTGCTTTGAAAACCCTGTTAAAGACCCTCAACACCCGCCATCGAGAATCTCATTTGAAGCGATAAAGAGCAAAATTCACATCTTCTTTCTGACAATGTGGATTTGGTTTTCTGGCCAGCAGAGATGTGAATGATTCAGGAGGAAGAGTCTCTGCTCACAACAACGAAAAAAAAAATATTTCAAGCAACTGAAAGCTGATATTGTACGGTGGATCGGTGGTTAGCACCGTCGCCTCGCAGCTCGAAGGTCGCCGGTTCACGCCCCGGTGAGGACACCCGGGATCTTCCTGCGTGGAGTCTCCATGTTCTCCCCGTGCAGCGTGGGTTCTCTCCGGGTTCTCCGGCTTCCTCCCACAAAGTCCAGAAACATGTTGAGGTTAATTGGTGATTCTAAATTGTCCGTAGGTGTGAATGTGAGTGTGCTTGGTTGTCTGTCTCTAAGTGTAGCCCTGTGATAGACTGGTTACCTGTCCAGGTGAACCTGCCTTCACCCTGAGTCAGCTGGGATAGACTCCAGCCCCCCTAGTGAGGATTAAGGTGTAGAGATGATGGATGGATGTTAGCTGATATACATACTGCCCTGTAGGAGACAGAGAAATGAGCTAAAACCTTTCCGCTCATGCTGATTTTTTTTTTAACTCCAGGGAACGAGATTACGACGACATCGACGAGGAGGACCCGTTCAACCCGCGGGCGAGGAGGATAGGCTCCCAGAACCCCAACCACACCAACATGCACAGCTTCTGCAGCTACAGCAGCAGCATGGGCAGCCAGAGCAGCCTGCACCCGCCCGCCCCGGCCGTCTCCAACGCGCCCATGTCCGAGTACATGTGAGTGACGGGAGGGCAGCGTGTGAATCCTCTTGCTTGTGGCGCGTTTGAGAAAAATTCATCCCAGTCGCTTCTCCCGCTCTGTTCGCAGGAACCAGACGGCTCTTTTCGGGGGAAACCCGAGGTACGAGAACGTGCCTCTGATAGGACGAGGCTCTCCGCCGCCCTCGGTGCGTTGGGTCCCAGAGGCCAAGTCTTTCCTGTGATGTCATGTTCCTCTCAGCTAGCACACACATTTAGCCTTTTACCGCACAGGAAATAAGCTTCTTATAAATAACACTCACTTCCTTTGTTCAGCTTAACATCAGATGTGAAGCCATATTTGATAACTTTTAATAGCAATAACACTCTTTAGACACACACTGTGCCTTTTTCTACAACTCACAGTACCAAAGCAAGCAGAGGAGAAGTAATGCAGTTAATATTTAATCTGAACAGAACATCATTTAGCCCCTCCAAGGCTGAATCCCAGGAGGAGGCGACACAGGTCTCACCCGTGAACTCTGTAACTGTCACGCTTTTCTTCCTCGCTGAATTAATTCACCTCCCCGCTGGGCCACGTGTCGCCCGTTACATCACGGGGATAAAAATAGAGGCATTTTGAATTAAATTTTCATGGGGCGCAGCCTCTTAATAACATGACGAAATGCACACCAGCTGAATTTTTTTTTTTTGAAACCGTGTTCGTCAGAAAGAAACACACCAGATATCTTATTTTGAGGTTTGTACTGTTTCTAGCAAATGCATGCAAAGTTGTATTTTCTACTTTCCGCTGCGTTCAGTCATCCTTATCATTAACCTTCAACAGAAAAATGTGATGTTCTCTGCCTTGTGACTTTCTTCCTAATTAACACCAGCGAGCGATGCATAATTTAACGTCTCCCTCATGACAACAACTGTGCAGCAGAGCCATGCAGTCATCTTCGGCTAACAGCTTCTTTTTATATATTTTTTTGTTTTTGTTTGTTTGTTCGTTTGTCACGTGTATGTTTGTTTGTATCTTTCATTTCTATATTCCCTTCTTTCTTTAATCAACTTTTGGAGATATACTCTCAGCAGTATAGAAATCGAGTAAGTCTTTTCTACTCTTCCTCAGGATTTTTAACCCCGTCACGTTTCCTCTGTTGCATCTCCGTCTGTTACCTCTTCCTCCTCCTCCTCCTCGTCCTCACATCACTCCGGTTCCTGTGCGGTTTTTCCTGTTCGGCATGGCTTTTTTTTTTTTTGTTCCTCCTCATTGCAGACAGTGTTGTCCACTCTAGTGAGGGTTTTTTTTTTTGGTGTTCACAGGGTGGTACCCCTCCACGTGCATGCAATCATTCAGCTCTATAGATTGTACTGCCATTCAGCTGGAGTAGTGGATTTATTCTATCCAGGGAAGTGTTGACATCAGCTATTTGTGTGTTTGATGACTGAGGGGTTTGATTCGTTGTAGCACACTAGAGGTTATATCTCTTATCTGTGCTCCCCCAAGTTAGTCCAGTAGATATGATTTAAAGGAACGCTCCGCTGAAAATCGGTCTTTTTAGCATCAAATAGTCTGTCGGCGTGGGTTGTAAGACAAAAAAACAAAAAAGAAAAAATCCCCACTTGTAGTCAGCTTGGATCCACATCTGTTACGATTACGGCTGAGTGTTGTTTGAAATCTTTAGCTAAATTTTGATTCAAATCAGAAGCGATTTGGAGCTCAGAATATGCAAACAAAACTCCAAATCATCATTCAGTGTTTAATTGGTGACTGCTGGAACATAATGAGTGACTGCAGAGGAGTGGATTGTTGCGGCATAAGTAGTTTAAAAAGCTTTGGAGGTTTTTTGTGTGTGTGCATCTGGTTTTTCATTATAACTGCTGTGAATCCAGGCTTACTCCTGCCGCAACTCTCGATGCTACTCAGACGTTAGATTTTCAGCGGACTACTCCTTTAAAACCCCCCTTTTTCCCTGCTTTCTTTCGTTATAAATGACCACATACCTGTTAAGAATCACCTCCTAGGATGGGCTTGTAACATCCTCTGTTCGTGTCTCTGTGTGCGTCTTCCCTCCACAGTACTCCCCCAGTATGAGGGCCACCTATCTGTCCATGACCGAGGAACAGAGTAGACACTTTGGAAACGACTTCCAAGCATAGACTTCTGTATTTGCCCGCGGAGGGAAGCGGCGTCAGCGGGACGGGAGGCTGCTGCAGAGGACAGCGTGTGCAGCATCAGGACAATGGAACAACATCTGGACCGTTGTGTTTCGAGCTCACTGATGATTTTTTTTTTTTTTTTTTTTCCCTTTGAGCTAAAAACATTTCTGAACCTAACCTGCTCTTAATCTGTCGTGTTCCTTCGATACCTGACCTGTTGAAAGTGTTTCCCAATGAAAAAAACAAAGAAAATACAAAAAAAACATTCAGATTAATTGAGATTTTTCTGCCTTCTGAGCTTTGAGATGGAGGCGTGTGTGTTACTTTTGTTAACTTAGATCCAGGTCTTCAAAGAGTAAAATGTGAAAAAAAACAACCCACGAGCTGTGTCAACATGATATTTTCTATGTCTCATGCTTCATGCTTGATATTTGTGAAGCACAAACCCAGCACACTGGCAGCACACAGCAGGAGGTGATGGTGCCGTATAATTTATTTACATTCACACACACACAAGTGAAGCTTTCTGAAGCTCCAGAGACGACCCCGAGACCACGGCTTCTGTAAATAAGGTGTACGATAACAGTCTTATTCTCTATATTTGATTTTGTTTAAACAGTGTGCCATTTTTTTTATATATATGTTTTCTAGTTTTCTGTGGCCATGTCACATAGGATCACTATTTTTTTTTTTTTGTATTTTCTAAAGGGCCATAACTTAACATTCTCTGTCGCATATCTAATGCAACTAATACGGTGAAGTTGTCATTTCCTGCTACGACTTGGGAAGCTGCTCTAACGATGATTAACGAGAAACATTCAGGTAATTATTTTGTCATGGAACCCGACCATCCGAACCAACAGCACACGTTTGTACCGACTAACGACGACTTTGCGTAGGGGTTTAATACATGCGGTGTCATTTCTTAGGACTGTTGTTGTCGTTTCTTTCAGCATGTTACACTGTACAGGCACTGCGAGTGGTGCTTAATTTTGTGTGTGTGACTCCAAACTTCAGGGTCTAAGTGTGAGTTGAATAAACCAGCTTTGAGTACAAAATCACGGGTCTTTGTTTATGTGTGCGTTCAGATGTTGCAGCGGTACATACATGCAACTCACTGTTGGATTGCTTTTTTTGTTCTTACTATTTGTTTATGCAGGCAAGGCTGTCTCGTGGAAATAAACCAGAACACACATACAGTATAATAATCTGAATTTATGTAGCTCTAAAGTGATTAAAAACTGGTATCTTGCTCATGTTATCCTTTTCTAAACCCTTAACAAGCTCAAAAGATGCTCATAATTTGTAAAGGAGTACATGTAAAACACTTACATCTATCACATTATGTGCATTCAGCATTTGTTTTTCTGCAATTTGTGTTCTCTTCGAATTACTCCTCAACCTTTAAGAGTCAGCTTTGAATCTACAGCTGAATGCAACTCATGCACGGTTCAACATGCACAAAAAATAAGTAAGCAGATGCATTTTTATGCTGTCTTTGAACTGTGCAGTGACAGTAAAGGAGATCTCTGTGTTGCTGCAACATCGGTGTGAACATCTTGTGCTTGTGCGTGGTTGAATGAATCCGTACGGGAACAACAGCTGTGGAGAAACGGTTCCACAAAAAAGTTCAGTCAGAAATCCTGCAGTTACTGGACGTGTCTCCAGTTCTATAAGTAGTAGGCGTCTATCAGGCTTCACTTCTGGTTGTGTTGGGTGGCCGTACTTTCCGTCTAAACCGGTTGTGGTCACCTGGAGCCACACCTGGGCTCCGGCCCTGCTTTCCTTTTCATTGGTGCCGCTCAGTTTCACTGTGACTGTGTTTAGTTTTTGAAAGAGTGTGTGTGCTGAAGGCCTTTTATGCAGAACCAGTTTCATGCAACTAGCACAAAGCCATCCTAAAAACTTACATATAATCATGAAATTCTAGTTTAAAACATATTTTTACCAAATATTTTTTCTAATCTGACCTTGTGACCTACATTAGGTTGCATGGAATCAAGCGTCTAAAAATATCACATCCTGTAGGTCTTTTAGCATAACCAGCTTAGTGCTACTCGCATAGCCACTCTAAGAATTACTTTTCAACTAGAAGTTTGTGATTACATTTTGTTTATTTATTTATTTTTTTACCAAATATTTTTTAACTTGACCTTGTGGCCTACATTTAGTCGCATGGATTTAAAGGTCTGAAAACAGTAATTCTGATTTTTTGCCAGCAGATGTCAGCACAGTGCTGCAGACTCAGCTAAGCTATGCTATGCTAACTATAGCCTCAGTATGCGCCCTGCGTGTAACCATTAGCCTGCACTGGGGTCACGAAGCTAAATGTGGCTTTAAGTTAAGTTGTGTAACCAATTTTAAAAAACCAAGAAGGCCCACAAAAACATTATCTGAAAGTATCTTACTTCCTAGAATGTCTTCTAAGTTGATAAATCAACATTCTAGCCACTAATAAAGATTTTTAAAAAAATGAATAAAATTCTTTAGATTTGGGCCGCCATCTTTGTTTTGGTTTGGGGCAGAAACTTGGGTGCCACTTATGAATCTTGTTTGTCATCAAAAATATGTTTCATATAGAGGGCTGGTAGAGTCCTGGTGGGTTGTGAAGACGCATACGGCACACAGGAAGTGAACTTAAGTAGCTAAACAGCATTTAGAGAAAGTGATGGTTATTATTAGCTGAGGTGAAGTCAAGATTCAAGAGATTCAAGGATTCAAGATTCAAGGTCTTTATTGGTCAATAACACAGTTATACATGGTGTAACGCACAGTGAAATGCTTTGTGCACCTGTTCCACACCGAAGCAATAATAAAAAGATGAATAAGAATAAAACACACAAGAAATAAATATATATATGAGTATATATATAGATATATGTGGAGAGAGAAAGGGATAAAAAAATAAGCAAAAATGAATAAAACAACCAAATAAATCAATAAATCTAACTGGTATTTACGTAGCACGTTTAAAACAACAGAGCCAAAGTGCTTTAATTGTGAAATAATTGTTATATTAGGAGTTTATCAGAATCAGAAATACTTTATTGATCCCCTATAGTGCTTTCAGTTGCTCCCAATCGATCAGTCCTAAAGAAGCAGGAAGTGAAAATATATAATAAAATATAAAAGTATTCACATGAAAATAGAATAAAAAATATAGAATACATCATGCTGTTGTGTGTGCGCATTATATACATTTCATATTCATTTAAAACCCTTTAATGTTGTATTTTAGTAGCTCTGCGGCTGTAATGTGGTTAAACTGGGCTTAAAGTGTAAACTAGATTTGATTTGCATACGGAAAATAATCGTAGAATAGAAATAAAATGGATTATATGTACATTTCCGGTATATATTCTGCCTGTAGAGCAGCGGACAGGTTTTATTTTCTAGTCGGACGCAGCCTGTCGGTGCGTACAGTCGCTGACTTGATGCTGCCGGTGGCGCTCCAGGAATCTCCAGGGACAACAAGCACGTACACAAACACACACACACACTCTCACACACACACACACACACACACACCTGAACCCACGACAGTAGCAGCAGCAGCAGGGCAGCGGAGAGCAGCGAGGACACGCGGGGAGGTGACGGCAGCAGGTGGGCTGCTGCCTTCTGCTACCTGCCTTCTATCTTCTCATATCAACGGTTATTCTCGCGTTTCCAGGCCGCTGAAAAAAAACACACACGAACCCAAACAAAGCGACCGGAGGAGCTGCGGAGCGTCGACGCACCGGCAGAGGAAGCGAGAGAGTATCCGGGACAGTAGGACGGCTGACGGGAGCTCCGGTTGTTGTTGTTGTGCGGAGCGGAGTGCGCGCGCGGTGGGCTGCAGGAGGAGGCATGCAGGTATCTACGGGGAGCAGGATGGTCCAGAGCTGCTGCTGATCATCATCATCATCATCATCCTTCAGCCTGACCCAGAGCGAACATGAAGGACACCGGGGAGTCCAAGGACCACCAGCTCACTGTGAGTTCTGCTGTAGCATCACCACACCTGTTCATGCCTCTGAGAACCTGCAGCTACCAGGTGGACCTTTACAGTCTGAGCTGAACATGCTTTAAGTTTATAGCTGGACTATATTATGTTACGATGCTCCTTTTAAGTCTTTTTACATGCAACACTTGGAGTTGCATTTATGTTTCCACTGGAGGGGCGTAGGAGGACTGCAGCAGTTAATTGATTCATTTTCAACTGATAAATTATTCACCAGTGATTCTTTAAATCCTCAAGCGGTGTGAGTGTTTCTTTGCTGGGTTGTGAGACGTCTTGAGCTTTTGGAAACAACATTTTCCATCGTTTTAATGACATTTGATGGACTGAACAACCAGAAAAATAATCAACAGTGAAGTTAATCAGTAGTAGGTTTTAAAAACAAGCATCCAGTTAAAGAGTTTCCTGTAGTTTCTTTATTCCACTGGCTCCTTTCTGTGACGCCTGTTGGCGGCGTGGTGGTCTAATTTCCCCGCACGCTGCCTGTTCTGTGTTCTGCAGCCCACACCTGAATTATTGAAGTGGCTGTTTCAGTTGCCTGGCCTCTCTTGTCCAACATGTAATACACCTTCTGCAGGGCGCTGACAGAGACAGACAGAGAGAGAGAGGACCTTATTATTCCTATATGGTGCCTGAGCACAAACCTCCAATGTGGCCAAAATGGGCAAAATAGTATCTGTGGGTCACATACCCGCATACCCCTGGATCCATGACGCCTCTCCTGCTGGTGCTATTTTTGGTTTTCATGTCATTTTATTCACTTTCTACTGACCTCTGAATGTTTCCTTGGAGCAGAATGAGGCCGACAGCATTGAATAACACAACCATCCACTCGTTTCTGTGTCTGCTGAGTGCCGTCCTGTGTTGATAATTCTGAAAGTTCAGGTGTCTGGGAAGTGATTAAGGCTGGAATAAGAATTTACTTCAATTCAATTCAATTTTATTTGTATAGTGCATATTTACAACAACAAGTCATCTCATAGCGCTTAACAACGGCAGAGACAGAAACACCCAACAATCCAAAACATTTGGATTCCCTATAAGCTTCAGCAGTCTGCAAGCAGTGGGAAGGAACCAAAAACCCCCACGGGGGAAAAAAAAAAACCTCCGACAGAACCAGGCTCAGGGAGGGACGGCCATCTGCCTCGACCGGTTGGGTGGATGTAGGATGAGTTATAAAATTTAGTGTACAGTTAAACAAGTTATTTAAATGAGTTCAACCATCCAACTGTTTTCTGTAGCTGGTTGTCATCATGGTTGAAGTTGCTGGTGGCGTGTAACCTGTTCCAGCACACACTGGGCTGAAAGCAGTCATATTTACACCAGAGAACATTCTCCCAGTTTGCAAATTAGAGAGAATAAAAAAACGTGAAAATGGGGATAATTTGCAGAAACAGGGTGTAAAGATCTCCTGAATGTGACGGTTATTATCAAGTTTAATGGGAAAAAAGTCTTGTATCCTGCGCTTGACATTTTAAAACTGACTCATGCTTTTTTTTTTTGTATTACGTCTCCATCTGTTAACAGGAAGTGGCTTTTTTACACCTTCCCTAATGCAGTTGTGTGCTACAGCTTCACTAGTGAACATGCACATCTGTCGTAATCATATTTCTGTTATTTACGTAATCCTGAAATCATCGTCAGGGATTATTTTTAAGGATTTGATGAAGCTGCTCGAGCCACAGGAGACGTTGCTTTCGTCGTCATTTTCATCAAAGTTAGCAAAACAGAGAAATTAATATTAATACATGGTACAATAATGCATATTTTATTTTTTAATCACATTTACATTCAGCTCAGAGACACAAGTGATCTCAGTCATTTGCAAATTCAATTAAAAGTCCGGATACAGCTGCTCTAATACAGACACGGCCTTTGTACACATTCATTTATCATAGGGGATGGAACACTCGAGTTCAGCTCTTTTCTAACCTATGCTTTCAGCAAATTGAGTTTTCTCTGTGTTAATTAAACCCAAGGATAACCGAGTTCTGTCCGTGCGCCGCAGGTGGCCTTGAGGATCCGACCCCTCAGCGATGCCGAGCAGGAGGAGGCGGCGAC